CTTCATTGGGGGAGGACGAGGATTGCTGAAGTGGAAACTACTGTCTGAATCCGACTGTGGTAAGTCATCGTCCTCCTCTAGAGGACCAGTTTAAGTAGTAGCTGACGGTGATGGTGGAGGATGGGATGGAGCGGATTGAGTAGTCTGTGGGGGGGACTTTGCTGGGGTATGTGTCAGGGTAGCTGTAGTCGAGCAATGAGATCGGTGCCAATGAGATGGTGGCAGGTGGTATTGGGCCCATGGTTTCCAGGGTGGTTACTGAAGTTGATATTGTTTAGGTGGGTACGACCATGAGTGATTGACCCAAGGGTATTGAGGATGATGGTATGAAGGCCTGTGCCTGCTTGGGCGCCAAGAGCTCACTGAAGCCATTGGTGATGAGTGCTGGGAGGAAAAACATCTGTCCTGCCCGGTGCCACGTCCAGTACCCAGAGATGACAGCATCGGGGAGAATGAACTATTTTCGGAGGGATGCTGGAGTGCACTAGGTTCCTAAATCCTAGAGGAATGTGGAGGTGTCTTATTCATTGGTCAGGAGGGAACTGGCAATGGTGATGGTTGGTGCCAGGGCTTAGGTCCACTCAACTTAAATCCACTCTGCTGCGGTGCCAAGGAATACTTGAGTGCTGCTGGGCGCCGAGACTGGTGATTGCACTGTCATGGTGTCCTTCAGCACCGGTGGAAGCAGCATCTTTGTGGGTGCCAGCGCTGTCAGTGCCCTTTTCGGTTCCAGCTCGGCAACTGTTGTCAGAACCAGCTTTTGTTTATGAGCCATGCTGGATGTTGACGAACATGCAGTATGTGAAGTACATGGCACAAGCTCGCAAGGAGCGTGCCGGAGAGGCCCGGGACTTATGGGAATCCCTTATGGGTGACAAGTTAGCCCTTTTTTTCAGGGTTGTGTTCCCAGGGAGCCGTTGTCTTGGCTTCTAGCGGCTGCAGAGATTTCTGCTACAGCAAGCTTTTAAACCTCATCACCCGGTCCTTCTTTGCCCTGGCAGTCATACTTTGACAACGTGGGCACTTTCGCGCCACATGGCTTTCACCTAAGTACTTTATACAGAAGGCATGACTGCTTGAGGCAGGCATCGTCTCTCTACAGGAGTCACAATTTTAAAAACCAGGAGAACCTGGCATAATGCTTAATTGGGGCGAAGAACTTAGAGTGGAAAATAAACAAGAGGAAAAACTGGACAGTAACTTTTTAAAAAAAAACACAGTAGCTAACTACTAACATTAAACTGAGTAAAATTATGAACAATTACATTTTCATCTCTCTTCTTAGCTGAGGAGAGCACTGCTGGAAACTGTCTACTGCTGAGGATGGTAGAAAAGGAACTAAGTTAGTTCGAATTAGCACATCTAGACTTAAAAACTAGTTCGAATTAGCGTTTTGCTAATTCGAACTAGCATGTCCACACTGAGTGGACCCTGAACTGAGGTTAAGGATGGCCGGAAGCAGTGCCGGCAGAGCATCAGGTTAGGACTTAGAGCGTGGAGCTGCTGTCTCAGGCTAGCCAAGGGCTGTGCTTAAAGGGTCCCGAACCCCACCCCGAACAGACAGTTCTCAGGGGTTCCCCGCTTGCAAAGCAGTCCTGGCTTGGAGTGCCCTGAGTGCCCACACTCGGCACATCACAGCACTCAGCCATCAGCCCGGCTGCACTTGCCGCAGGCTGCCATCCGGAGCGGGGGTCAATCAAGGGGCTTCAGGAGAGCTTCCACTCCGAGGAGCCTGCAGAGCCACCCCAGTCCTCCCCATCGGGGGCTCGTATCCCATTCCTCCCTCACCTCCTTCCACTTACCCATCCCTAGTCCCCCTTCCTGATGTTCAAAATAAAGGACACATGTGGTCAAAAATAGAAACTCTCTTCATTGAACAAAACTGGGGGAGACTGGGAAAAGAAGGTGGGAGAGGGGAAGACAGAGGGTGGGAAAGGGGAGGGCAACTAAAATAATCAGGGGTTTGGAACAGGTCCCATATGAAGAGAGGCTAAAGAGACTGGGACTTTTCAGCTTAGAAAAGAGGAGACGGAGAGGGGATATGATAGAGGTCTATAAAAACATGAGTGGTGTGGAGAGGGTGCATAAAGAAAAGTTCTTCATTAGTTCCCATAATAGAAGGACTAGAAGACAACAAATGAAATGAATGGGTAGCAGGCTTCAAACTAACAACAGAAAGTTCTTCTTCACAAAGCAAATAGTCAACCTGTGGAACTCCTTGCTGCAGGAGGCTGAGAAGGCTAGAATTATAACAGAGTTTAAAGAGAAGTGAGATAAAGTCATGGAGGTTGGGTCCATGGAGTGCTATTAGCCAGG